TATTAAGTGTGTGCAGCTTTACATCCTTGTTAGACACATTCAACACAAAGAAGTAGAACCTTAAGGAAGTTGTTGGCCCACACATATACTGCCACATCATGTCCACATGGCTTGAATGTTCCTCTTGCGTGTCCTTGACAGAGACATGCAGACACTGTCGCAGTGTGCTGAAGAGGTGGATGTGGAGGGAAGTGTGTAGTTTCTTGAATCTGATGCAATCTGTGTGTAACTGGTGCACCAGTGTTATTGCAGACATGCAGAGAGAGAGAGAGAGAGAGAGAGAGAGATCTGTAGCATGCTGGAGCTCCACTGACCTACATGAGAGAGACGTGGCGACTGAGGAGAGCAGAAATAAATCCATAAATCTATGTTTATCAGTCGGCTGTAGAGTAACTGGACTGCACCGCAACATAACACACAAGGTCTCATTTTCTCTCTATAATGGAGACATCATGCACTGATAATCCTGTCAGATGGAGATACACCTTACATCTCGAAATGTAAATCATTTATTATAGAATATCTTTTATTTGTAAATCCATCAACTCACCACCACGTGCAGGGACAAACATATAGAAAATATTTCTGTGAATACAAAGCCCCGACACACACCATGAGTTAAGCTGCTTTTCTAAAAACAAAACATCCGGTAGTGCAATGTCAAAATAAAAGCATCCGCTAAGTATCCATGACACAGCGCCCTCTGCGGTGACGAGGGCTTTTATTTTGTCACCGCCGCAACTGCACTTCCTGTCAGACGTCATCCAACTTGAACCTCAACAGCTCCATCTAGCGGTGAAACCGGGGAAGCGCCAACATGTCGGCTCAGACTGGTCCTGATGCTGCAGGGATGCAGAGGAGCGACGTGGGGAGGGGAGAGCGTTAAAAATGATGCTGCTCATGTAGGTCTTGGCGCAGTCTCTGTGGCGCAATGGAATAGCGCGCTGGACTTCTAATCCAGAGGCTCCGGGTTCGAGTCCCGGCAGAGATGGGTCACTATGGTAACACATGGTGTGTTTTTTTATCAGCTGGACGCAGATGATGATGCTCTGGTCGCAGTTGATCGTTTTCTGTTAATCCTCGATAATAAGAGTGTGAGCTGCAGTGAGCACACTGAGGCTCAGCCCTGCCTCACTCTCACATGTGCATCACTGACCTCATGTTAAATAAACATTTCCTCTTTTTTATTTATTTCACACATTTTGTCCAAAGCTGGATTTTGCATGTGATTTATTTGACTGGGGTGCACGCTGACATCGTTGTGCTTTAGAGGAAGTAGCGCTACAGAAAACCAATGTTTTGAGATGTGCCTTTAACACATCGACTCCACTGAGAGGGACAAGGTCCATCTGTCAAAAGATCAGAGCTCCATGGCAGTGGAAATACAAATGATTCAGCTTGGACGTCGTCTGCTTTTATCGTATGCTTGTGTTCATTCAAAACACTTGAAGACAAAACAGAGGGATGTGGACTGACAGGAATTAAATGAATTTTAAAAATATAAAAGAGAAAATCACTGAAATATATAAAATGAAAAGCACAGAAAGATAAAAAGAAATAAATATTTGGGAAGAAAGACACTGAAATATCCCCCCACAATATTTTAACAACAATTATTGAAATATGTAAAAATTCTGATTATTATTATCATTTTATAGAAATACATTGAAATATTTAAAGAGAAATACACTGAATACACCGAAATGAAGACATTTGCATTAAAAACAATTGAAATAACTTAATAGGAATACACTGAAATATTGAATATGAAATATGCTGAAATATACAAAGACAAAAATGTACAGAAAAATATATCAAAGCTAAGGGTGTAGTCCATAGACTCTTTAAATAAAAAGGTGAGTAAGATTCACATCTCTGATCTGGATAAGGTGTGTGTGTGTGTGTGTGTGTGTGTGTGTGTGTGCAGATATTTTGGGATCCTTGCTCCAGTTGTGTTGGATTGGAGAGCAGAGCACTTGCAGGGGATTGACGCCACGTGGGGGCGCTCGAACATCAGCGTTGTGAGACGGGGCTCCCCGTGGATAAAGACCCGCCGATCCTTGGTACAGTTACAGTATCACAGGGGCGATTTCATCATGATGACATCACTGCCTTATTCTATGGAGTAGTCAACATTAATAATCAGGGACTAATGGAAATATTCCTGCTGCATAATTGAATTTTAATAATAATCATCAGTCTCTTATTACTGCAAATTCTCATGTGCAGTTTCAGTAGAGGCGTCTGCTCACTCTGCAGTAGATGTTCTTTATTTTCTTTAGAGGATTGAGGTGTGGAGGTGAGTTAAGATACCAGCTCATCTGGAATGACTCCATTACTTCATCGTGACCCAAACCCCTTCACTACAGCACGGTGCGTCTCAAGGATTAAGCCCCTCTGAGCATATTCTATCTATTTATCATTTCATCAAGTTTCTCTTTTTCTCTTTTTAGTGGACTCGTCCAAAGTGTGAGGAGGAGGGGGGGGGGGTGTGCAGAAGTTGAAGAAGTAGTAGTAAAAGAAGAAGAAAGGGCAGTGCTCTGGTGCTGCTGACGTGAGAGAGAGAGAGAGAAAGAGAGAGAGAGAGAGACACACACACACACACGGAGAGAGAGGAATGCGCCTCTAATGAGAATATGACGTCAAGTTAGAGACATTGCAGCAACACCGGAAGTAAATAGAAATGGTTAAATTAAATGAATTCAAATTTGTATCTAAATTGTTACATGAGCTGTCTTATTGTTTCACAGTTTCCATCAATTACACAGATAGAGGTAAAGGTAAACCATGGACTAATTTGAACATGGATTATCATAAATAACCATCATCATCATAACAACAATAATGATATTGGCCTCTAGGGGATGGGGTGGCTGGTGGTCGACTATAGCTCCTAAAGTCTGGTCAGAATTTAATTTGTATCTATTTACTCTTACCTCACTGACTAATTCAATCATTTTCTAATGTTTTATTTTATTTTGTTCTTACACTTTCCTTATCGGTTTTTTTTAATTAATCCCACTTATCATTTCCCTTTTGAGATGGGTGATATATATAAATAGATTTAGTAATTATTATTATTTTGCAGTTAATGAAATTGACGCATACAAAACTATTTGAATTAAGGAACAACCAAATCATGTAGTTGTTTGTTTTAATGCCACGCGCAGTGAGAGTGCATGATAACATATTACTCTCTGGTTTTATTTTCATCTGTACAACTTATTTATTTCTTTTTCAGAGAGTAGCCACCTCCTGTAGCCTTTCCAGTTTGAGTCTCCTCGTTTTATTGTGAAGGCCGTGTCAGGAAGTCGAAGGAGTCGTCATCAGTGCGAGCTCAGCGCCCGTAGAGTGGAGCAGAAGAAGAGAGCGAGGAGAAGAGAGAGAGAAAGAGAGACAGAGAGGAGGGAGAACAGGGAGAGAAACAGCGGTGACATGGTGTAAAAGCGGAGGATTACTACTCTTCTTCTCCGGTGCTGTTACCGTCCTCACGTCCGCCCCGTCCCCGCTTTTTGATGCTGTCCTCACGGGGCCGTGAGCCACGATCGGACCCGGCGGAACCATGCACAGGCTGCTGCTCCTGAGTTTGCTGCTCACTTCTCAAACTGGTAAGACTGAGTGCGTGCGTGCGTGCGTGCGTGTGATCACATATTATTAGCAAACCGTGTCCAGAGGGCTCAGAGCACTGGCGTGTGCGTGCGTGGAACACGACAAAGACGTGGGCTGTGATTTCTCAGTGTTCCCCTCACATCACTGTGTGCGAGCAGTGGGTCACCTCAGGCGTGCGTGTGTGTGCGTGCACGAGAAAGACAGGGCGCGTGTGTGTTCATACGTGTGTGTGTGTGTGTGTGCCGCAGCAATGGATCACCACTTTTTTTATGATCACTGTCGCGCGCCGGTTAAAAAAAATGAAATGCAGGCGGTCGCTCGTGCACGTGCGCGCAACTCGAAGGGGGACTCGTGCAAGCGCGCCCCACCGGCCCAAACGACCTTTTGCACATGAGACCCCCCCCCCCCCCCCCCCCCTTACATTGAGACGGTTGAGGCGCTGAGGACGTGACGGGAATGACAGTGATTGACCAGCGCTGCTCTACACGCCAGCAGCACCGTGCACGCTGCTACCGCATCTGAATGGCTTGTCAGTCACGGAGAGCACACGCGCACACACACACGCACGCACGCACACACACGCCCCTCCTCTGCTCCTGTCCTACCTGAGCGACCTGACACACAGCATCACTTTAACCCACTCTCCTCACTTCAGCTGCACAAAGAGGAGTGTGCAGCATCAGCAGCGCCCATGCATCCCCCCCCCCCTCCCCCGTACCTGTGGGCTTCCAGGTACACTGTTGGCTTATGGTAATCGCAGCTGAGGCTGAGTTGCTAGGAGACAGGAGGCTGCAGGAGCAGGAGGAGGAGGAAGAAGATGAGGATGGTTGTAATTTCTCTAAGCTACCTGTTTGATCGATTCACATCTGTGTGTCGTCGCCACAGCAAACCTCCCCTTTCTCCCCCCTCCCCTGCCATTGTCTACCTTGGCTGACCGGGAGCGTGCACGGCCACCCGCCCACTTCATCATAGGTAGGGAGGGAAGGGGAGAAGGGGGGGGGGGGGGGGGGGGGGGGTTAGGCAAAGGTATAGAAAGGGATGATGTCACCGTTGTCTGCCAGGCTTTGTGTCGCTCAGGCTCGACTCG